GATGGCTACCACATCCAAGGAAGGCAGCAGGCGCGTAAATTACCCAATCCTGACATAGGGAGGTAGTGACAGTAAATAACAATACTGGGCACTGAGTCCGGTAATTGGAATGAGAACAGTCGTAAACTCCTTGAACGAGGATCCATTGGAGGGCAAGTCTGGTGCCAGCAGCTGCCGTAACTCCAGCTGCAATAGCGTATATTTAAGTTGTTGCAGTTAAAAMGCTCGTAGTTGGATTTTGGGTGGGAGGGGTTGGTCCGCTCTTGCGGGCGTGTACCGKCCCTTTCGCCTTTCTTGCCGGGTATGCGTTCCTTGGCTTTAGGTCACCCAAGATTTGTGCGACACAAGGTCCCAGACGTCAATGATGGTATGGCAGAACAGGGTTCACGTTGTGCTGGGTGTACAACTGACTCTGGACTTTGTCTGGCCTGGGTGTCTATCAGAAATCTATCACGGGATGACATGCCTGGGTTAGTGATTTGGTGCCCCGACCCATGTGAGCAGACTTAAGTAACCGGTGTGCCACACTGATGCTGCTGCTCGCAGTGTGCTGCATGCAGGTCAACTTAGGTGGTTACAATTTGAGGCATGATGGTGTTTTCTGGGAAACATCGGAATCTGGATAAGCGCCCAGTGGTATGGTGTGGCCGCGCAGCTTGCAGCTAGCGGTAGATTCGAAGTCAGGAGCCTCATTAGATGCATAAGTTTCTCATGAGAAGTTAGAAAAACCCATTTTCCTTTGTCTTTCCACTATCACGGTTGGCCATCGGTGTAGTTTTTCCGCTCCCTGGGCAATGGTGCGTGCCTGTGAGGCTACGAGTGTGAAAGGCCGCAAGGTACACAAGGCTGAGCTCAACAGGTGGATTATCCGTCATGAAAGGGTTGATGCGAAGTCCAGACACTTCTTGTGTGTTTTCTGCGGTCTCATGAGTGCGCTGCTATGATTTCATGAGATGTTTCGTCTTTTAGTTATGGCACGTGTAGGTGACCAGAATTCTGGTTAACTGTTAAGCCCAAGTGATTGTTCCCAGTTTTTTGAAGCCTTTGTAGGAATCGGTAGTCAAGGTCTTGTGAACATTGACAGTGAGATCATCGGACATAGCTCCCTGGGGTGGAGATGCACCCTTGTCCACTGTTTCACAGGCCAGGTAGTGTCGTTAGTCGATGCTGACCATTGTATTCAGAAAGGGTGCAGTTTTGTGCTAGCAGGGGAGTTGCAAGCAACATCGGCATAGTCCCAACTTGTTGATTTGATGCTCGAGAGAGCCAGGCTCTCTGGGTATTCCAGAACATAGAAGCAGAGAATGCGAGCCAACGAGATGGAATGCTGGAAAGAGTCCGTATTGGTGCACAGTTTCAAAATTTGTGAAGCGCTGTACGGACAATCCAGGTGTCACTTGTCAGCATTGTTGTCAGCAAACTTAACATGGAATATGTAGACTGCTGCAAGAATGAATTGACTGCACATGAAAAGGAAGGCCTGCATGACACCTAAAATAGGTGCCTTGCTGAGGTCTTTCACTTGCTGAAGCTCGTAAGAGTCGTAACATTTGCGGATGGCCGTATAGAGCCTGGCACACCTCTGTTTCCAGTCCAGCAGTGTCCGGACATTGGGTTTGCATCTTAACGAGTGATTTTAACCACACCTTCATGTTTACATTCATATGTAGAATCTTCATTTTTGCCTTTGTCTTTTATATTTTAATCGTTGTCTTCATCATTCTCTTAATCATTCTGTTCATCATTCTCTTCGTCTTGTTGTCTTTATCATCGTCTCCAGAGGTCATCATCATGGTCTTCATTCGGCACTGTTATCATCATTGCCGTCCTCTTCTCCATCTTCACCTGTCTTTCTCTTCTCNCATCATTGCCGTCCTCTTCTCCATCTTCACCTGTCTTTCTCTTCTCTTTTCCCGTCTGTGTTTTTTGCCTCTGGTCTTGTCTTCAACTTCATGCTCGTCTTCGCCTTTGTGAATGCTTTCATATTTGCATTGGTTCTGCTGTCACGCCGTGGTGTGTTCATTCGAAGTAGAAAGCACGCCTACATGGAGTTCTTTTTTTTTTTTTCCCAACACAGAGCCCCTTCTATTCTGGGGGGAAGCAGTCCGGTTACTTATCGCCGGCAAGCATGTTTGTACATCCAAAGACGGGGGGGAGATCAGATCAGAAAAGTGGAACAGGCCAACTCTTGTGGCATTGATCGTCTACCAATGGGGGACCTGCTAAGGGCCCCCCCCCCAAACCGTGGCCTCTTTCCGGGGGCCACCCTGCTGGCCGGGGGAGGCTTCCTAGCAGCACCCAACACGCAGCAGGGGGACCCTCAGCGAGATGGGGTGCGGGGAGGGGCTTCCCCTGTAGTTCCTCAGCCGCCTATCAAACTCCAGACTATTGTATCATCACTGTGTACGCTTATACTCATGCAATCTGTCTAAACCTGTTTTCGCTGCCGTGTGCCTACATGAACTTGAAGGTGACTCGTTTAAAATTCTAGTGTAATGGGAGGAGGTAAAAGGGTCCACGAATCTCAGTATGCTTGGTTCAGTCCTGCTTGAGTCCCAGTCCCAGGTCCCAGGTCCCAGTCCTGAGACCCAGTCCTAGTTCCCAGTACGGAGTCCCAGCTCCGAGCCCCAGTCCCAAGTCCCAGGCTTATGATTTGTAAGTGCCAGCCCCGAGCCCCAAGCTTTAGTCCCAAGTCCCAGGCTTGAGTATGATTCCAAGTCTGAGTATCCGTGAATGCCTAATAGAGTAACTTTCATTTGTACAGTGGTTCCAGATGCGTAGGTAGGTTAGTTACGTAGGTCGTGGTATGAAGTCCCTTGTAGATAACAATTATGGGTTGAAGAGTCTATACTCGGGTGGGCAGGTGTGTGTGTGTGTGTGTGTGTGTGTGTGTGTGTGTGTGTGTGTGTGTGTGTGAGAGAGAGAGAGAGAGAGAGAGAGAGAGAGACAGACAGATAGATAGATAGATAGATAGATAGATAGATAGATAGATAGATAGAGAGA